CTTTAATGAACATGAATTCGAAATTTTTAATTGTGAAATTACTTATTCTAACCAACCTAACTCTCGCGTTGATATAAAAGAAATTCTTAGGACGAATCACATGAATGACGAAGAAAAAGAAAACATTATCAATTTATGTTTAGAATATTCAGACATTTTTCAAAATCCAACAGATAAACTACCTTTTACAAACACAACCAAACACGAAATTAAGATTAAAGACGAAAATCCCTGCCATACAACAACATATCGTTATCCCCACATCTATAAAGAATAAGTTCAAAATCAACTATAAAAAATAATCCGACCAAGTATTTCCCCATGGAGTTCACCTATTTGGGTAGTACCAAAAAAATTAGACGCTTCAGGCAAAAGAAAATGGAGAATTGTTGTAGACTACCGAAACTTGAATGACAAGACAGTAACTGACAGATATCCTATCCCAAATATCACCGACATACTCGACAAATTAGGCAGAATTTGTTATTTCACCACTTTAGATCTCGCCTCCGGCTTTCACCAAATTGAAATGGCACCAGAATCAATTTAAAAAACAGCTTTTAATACAGAACACGGACATAGAATTTTTAAGAATGCCTTTTGGACTCAAAAATGCTCCAAGTGCTTTTCAAAGAATGATTGACAATGTACTTCGTGAACACATTAACATTTGTTTAGTTTATTTAGATGATATAATAGTTTTTCCGACCTCTTTACAAGAACATATTACAAATTTAAAAAAGATTTTCCAAACTTTAAGAAATGCAAATTTAAAAGTACAATTAGACAAGTCCGAATTCTTTAAGAAAAACGTTGAATTTTTAGGACATATTGTTACCCCTGACGGAATCAAACCAAATCCTGACTAAATTAATGCAATCAAAAAATTCCCTATCCCTAAGACACACAAACAAATAAAACCCTGTTTAGGCCTACTAGGATACTACAGAAAATTTATTAAAAATTTTGCCAAAATAACAAAGCCACTTACAAACTGTTTGAAAAAAAGACCAAAAAATTGAATTAACACCTGACTACATCTCATGTTTCGAACATTGCAAAACTCTGTTATCAAATGAACCCATCCTTGCGTACCCTGACTTTGAAAAAGCCTTTGAACTCACAACTGACGCATCAAATTACGCGATAGGCGCAGTGCTTTCGCAAGACCGACACCCGATAGCTTATGCATCAAGAACATTAAACCCTGCTGAGATAAATTACGCGACAATAGAAAAAGAATTACTAGCGATAGTATGGAGTTGCAAATATTTTAGACTTTACATTTAAGGAAAGAAATTTACTATTTATTCGGATCATAAACCTTTAGAATAGCTTTCAAATTTAAAAACACCAAACACTAGACTTATTAGATGGAGATTACATTAAGAAGAATTCGACTATGAAATAAAATATAAACAAGGAAAAACTATTTACGTTGCAGACGCTTTATCTAGTCACACGAAAATCCTATACAAGAATTTCCCATCACAGAAAAATGCATTAACCAATATGTAAACCAAATTATTATAACAGAATCAACTAACGTGCTAGCAAAATTTACAATTAATGCATCAATCTTTAATAACACACGACACAAAATTACTTTTAAATCCAATTCAACTGAAGAAGAAATTATTAAAATATTCAAAAATACAATTGATCCCGAAAGACACTATTGTATGTTCTTACGCACTAATAAAGACAATCTACTAAAACTTCGAATAATTAGAACTTTACAAAACAGTTTCACTAAATTAAATTTAACTGTATCAAATTTGTTTGTAACTGACGTAACTAATGAAGACGAACAACACCAGAAAATTAAATACCATCATGAAGGAAAAACCCAACACAAAGGAATTATCGCCACTTTATCATCACTAACAAAAAATTACTATTGGTCCTATATGCTAAGAGACGTACAAAATTACATTAACACATGCACCACTTGTCAATCTTGCAAATATGAACGCAAACCTCACAACCCACCTTGCGGAATTACACACCCCATCTAAGCCTTTGGAAATAATTCACATCGATTTATTCTTCATAAATAATACCTTCTCAACATTCTTAGACCCTTTTTCAAAATTTGCTCAAGCTATACCAGTCACACAAAAATCGGCAATCGAAGTAACGGAAGCCCTTATAACATTTATATCATTCGTAGCAATCCCAAAAGAAATCATTTGTGACAACGGAAAAGAATTTAGAAATAACATAATTTCAGACTTTTGTAACGTTCACAAAATAAAATTGCATTACATAACTTTACATAATTCCACTTCAAATTCACCGGTGGAACGGTTACACTCAACATTTGTTTGACCCGCGAAAATTCGCACGAAAATATTGAATCTTTAATGAAACTAGCTATAATGGGATATAATAATACACACCATAGTAATACAAAATACACCCCTTTTGAAATCCTATTCGGACATCTTAAACAAACCTTACCTTTTGACATAAACGAAGAAAACATAATAACCGACTATGTGGAAAACCATGCCAAAAATTCTCAACAACTTTACGAAAACATTCAAAACAAAATTTCAACCGAAAAAGAAAAACGTACAGAAAACTTAAACAAAAAACGCGTTGATCCAGAAAACTTAAATCCAGACGATACGATACGATTATCAAAAACGACCAAATTAGAAACAAAACCAATCCGAGATTTATTGAAACCAAAGATGAGTCAGTCTTAGATAAGAAAGTAAAAACAAAACGTGGCACTTACCATAAAAAGAGAGTTAAAAAGAAACGTAAAAGTGTGTCAGGTAGACCACGAGGACGACCAAGAAAAAATAATGACAATGCTCCCCGCTCAAATTAAAGTAACCCCAATTGAAAACGGCGTATTAACATTAAAATTAGGAACTATGAGATCTCAATCATCCATTCACAAATTCATTCATTATGTAAACCTACAAACAATTCGAGATGAACTAAAAACTAGAGATGAAACGGATAGTTGTTTGGCCGGATACCGGATACCCGGCGAGCTGCGAAGCCGGATAGCCGAATATTGAGCCGAGTTGAACATCGCACAGGTGCAGCGAACGCGATCGGACAGATTCGGGCGGTTTTAGGTGTCAGCCAGAGACATATGAGTATTTATTTAGTCTTATGGCCAGAGAGACCTTGCGTGACGTGGGGATTGTAAGGAAAATCAGTTGTTTATGTTTGCTTGCTGCATGATCTGCGTCGTAAAAAAACAATTGAAACATGTCATCAGTGAATAAAAGATCACCTATTTGGCAATATTTCGAAATTGATAGTGAAAATAATAAGTTTGCTGTTTGTTCGTTGTGCCAACTTAAAATTTCTCGTGGTGGTGAAGGAAAAAAGGCAGGTAAGTCAGTATTAGGTTATTTTTTTGCAGTTGAATTGATAAATTATCTTTGTTGAATAAAACTACACAGTTGAATAAAAATATGAAATAAGTACGTACCTACGCTTATTTATACTGCGACTGATTGTTTTGGGCTGGAAAATATTAACGTTATTAACCTAGCGGTATAACTTACTACATCTTAGGGCCGACCGATTTCCTAAGGGTGGTTTTTGTGTAGCTTTACGTTTCATTGGAGGCCCTGCCTAACACTTTATGAAATAATGGCGTGAATTTATGAACATTATCTAACTAATTTTAACCTCTTACTTTAGATTATATACATTTGTAATGATTTTTTTTATATCCCCTCAGGTACTTCTGCCATGAGTAATCATTTAAAATCAAAACATCTAGAGAAGTTTCTATTGGTGAAAAAAGGGAAAGACAAAGGTGTACCTGCGCAGCTTGTGGAACCCGCTGTCCCTAGTACAAGTTCGTCTTCGACAATGACAGAAAAGCAGCTAACTTTGTCAGAATCGTTTGAAAGAAAGCTGCTTTGGGATATAAACGATACAAAGGCAAAAAGTATCATTATTTAATTGCAGAAATGATCGCACTAGGTAATGAGCCGCTTTCTATTGTAGAAAGGGTTGGGTTCAAAAGACTCCTGCAACAAGCTTTCCCCCGCTATGAATTGCCAAGCCGCACCTAATATAACCCAAAAAATTGTTCCCGATATCTACAACAAAATTTTTGAAAAAATTAAAACAATCATTTCAAACGCAGTGGCAGTTTCTGTCACTTCTGATATGTGGACATATTTGCATAATAACTCTAGCTTTCTGAGTTTCACAGCTCATTGGTTGTCTCCAGAATTCCAGCTTCAACACGGAGTTCTCGCAATGAAACCCTTTTTAGGATCTCACACAGGAGAAAACATAGCCAATGAACTCAATGCTATCGCAGCTCGCTGGGATATTGAGCAAAGTAAAGTACATGTCATGACAGTGGTGCTAACATGGTGAAAGGCGTTCGAATGGCGGAGTATAATTCTGCCAGATGTTTCATTCATTCACTTCAAAGGGTTGTGACTGAATCATTGAAGATACAGTCTGAAGTAATGGACATGATTGCCAATGGTAGACGTCTTGTAACTCACTTTAATCATTCGGGTTTAGCACAAGAAAAACTGTTGGTGATTCAAAAGGAGTTACAGGGTTCATAGTTCAAAAGTAATGAAGAATTCCCTGACTTTTCCAAGTTTTCCCTGACTTATAAAAATAAAATCCAGGTCACTTGTAGTTCATTTTTACATACTAATTGGTGTTTATGCATTAAATTTTTTCTCGACTGGACTCCATAATCTTTTTTATACCCTAAGAACCTCTTATAAAGGTTTCAAAACCACAAATAGTTTTCTCTTTCAAGAACCCAGGGCCAGCTTTCACAAAATTTCCAGTTGCAAACATCAAATTCCCTGACTTTCATGAATATTTTTAAAATTCCCTGACCATTCCCTGTTTTTTATGAAGAATAACGAATTCCCTGACTTTTCCCGGTATTCCCGGTTTTTCCGGCCGCTACGAACCCTGAGTTAAGTTTATCTGAGCATCAATTAGTGCAGGATATCAACACGAGGTGGAATTCTACCTCCTATATGGCAGAACGCTTGTTGGAACAAAAACGGGCAAGCTCTCTTTATGTGGCTGAGCACGACGACAAACTCACTAATTTAACAACTCATCAGTGGTGCTTGATGGAACAGTGTGTAAAACTTTTAAAGCCATTTGAAGAAATAACTAAAATCACAAGTTCTGGCCTTTCCTGCATATCAGAAGTTATACCGCATGTAGCTGCATTAAAAAAATACTTAGAGAAGAATGGGACTGCACAACGAACAGCTGACTTGCCTCGATTGAGAGCTTCCTTAACAGCTGAATTGGAATCTCGCTTTAGCTCCTTGAGTGAAGATCCGACTTATCTTATTGCAACTTTCTTAGACCCCAGATTTAAGACAAACTATTTGGGAACACTTGAAGCTGAAAGAGCGCGACAGAAGATCTTATTGGAGTACCTAAAAATGACTTGCGACGAGTCTTCTAACAGTGGTAGTTCATCGGCGTCTCCAATACCTACTAAAAGAAATAGAGGAAATGAAACTGATCTAAATGTTACTTGCGAATCTCACGACACCTTTTGGGATTGTTTCGATGAAGTATCAAATGAAAACAATAGTCAATGTCGCGATCAGGGAAAAAACACAATTGCAAACGAGATTGACTACTATTTGAAGACAAGTCGAATTGATCGCCACCGCGACCCTTACACTTGGTGGTCAGTTAACTCGAAACACATTTGACAAAGTTTGCCAAAGTGTACCTTTCAGCTCCTTGCAGCAGTATTTATAGCGAGAGGCTGTTTTCCGAAGCTGGCTTGGTATACGAAAACAAGCGAAATCGCCTGTTGCCTGCAAACTGTGAAAATTTGGTATTTATTCACCATAATTTACCACTTGTTAATTTTGAGTATTAAAATTAAGGTAATTTTAGTATTTTAGTTTTTCTGGATGGTTCTTTTTTTGGTCTTTGTGAATTTTTTGTAACTTTCAGCTTTAAATAAAAGCCGTCATAATTATAATCCATTTTCTTATTATTTGCCTCACAAATTGTTTCTTTTATTATTTATGTATTAAAGTTGATTTTAGGGAATTGTGTCGCAATTTTTGAATATCCGGTATCCTGCCGGATATTAAGCTACTATCCGGTATCCGGCCGGATAGTAAATTTAGGCCGGATACCGGATAGTTACCGGATATCCGTTTCATCTCTACTAGAAACCACTTCTTCTCAATTATTATTACTCAATAAAAGAGCCCATCAAACTGAAGTAAATACTGGATTACTAACGATTATCTCACAAGCAGCACAATTAGTAGACGATACAAAACAAAAATTAGAAAATCTCACACCTCATAAGAATTAGCGTACAAAACGAGGACTAATAAACGGAATTGGCACCGCATTTAAATGGATTTTCGGAACATTAGATAACGATGATCGAAGAAAATCAATCAAGCAATTGACAAGCTAAATAAAAACAATAATCATATAAAATATCAATTAAAGACTCAGGTTAGCTTAACATCCAAACTAATAAATGAATATAACAAGACAATCACAACATTAGCACAAAATCAAAAAGCTATTCAAAATTATTTAATGCAAACGTTCGCAGAAGTTAATGATCAAATTAATTATGTTGTCACTACACTAACTATTCAAAACGTGAGTACTCAACTATTTGTAAACCTATATTACATTAACGAATTTTTAGATGAACTAGAAAATGGCATTGTCTTTGCATCGTGGAATTTTGTGCATAATTCAATTTTACCAAAAAATAAGCTAATGCACATACTAGAGGTAGCAAAAGAACTTTATAGCAGTTAAAATATTCTAGAGCTCAATCATTTCCAAAATTACTATTCATATTTAGGCACTTCAGTACATTTTAATGACGAATTAATTACTTTTGTAATCAGTATGCCAATCTTAACAGCAGATATTTATTTCTACTACCATTTGATCCCTGTTCCTATACAAAATCTCACAATTATTCCAACCATTCCAGATTATCATTTGACAGGAGCCTACTACGTTATTTTACATATAAGCTATTTGTAAACTTCGCATTTTTTCATAGAAATGATATTTCATGAAAAACTAATGAATTTTGGTATAGGAGCGGGTATAGCAAAGTTGTAGAGAATTTAGTTCTGCATCTATGGTATGAAAATATACAGGGTGTTGCATTTAAAAAATTCGAGATTTTTCAATTTTTCAATTGGCAATTTTGACATATTTTGGTCACCATGTATAACGCAGTCCAGTTTTTGGAGCATGATTCGGAAGAGTCATCCTTACTAAACATCTGATAAAAAATGGGCTTAGTAGCTATTAGTATAACCTGTCAGTATTAGAAAATGTAAGCAGCCAATATCGACTAGAAAAACCTTTCAAGCGAGATATCTCAAAAACTGTGAATAATTGAATAGAACTATTCTACACAAAGTACCCTTTATTTTTGATGTAGAATCCGAAAAAAATATAAAAAATGTGTATTTCCATTTAAAAAACCAAAGTGGGTGTCTGGCCAAGAAAAGTGGAACACCCTGTATAGTTGAATATATTTTTAATTTGTACATTCCGAGACATGTGTCAATACAGTAAAATGAAAAATTCATATACCTCATTTTAACATAGATATTGAACTTTCCCGCACTAGTGGGACACGCTGTATATATTTTAAAATAATAGTTAATATTTGTATACAGTTCAACAAAATGTCTGTATTTATTAAGCATAAATACCTAAATATATCAATAGCTAAAAATATTCTGTTGACTACTCATGTATCTTGTTATTAACCATATATCAGCTCTACAAGAGTTCGCTTTACCTGCTCACCTCATACCACTGAAGGTGTCGCGGCGCTAGCATCCAAACCGCAGCCAATACCTACTCACAACCATATATGGTAGAAACCATCATAATAAGGGTGTTTTAGTGTTTTCGTAACATTATACCCCTAAAAGATTATATATGCCAGCTTTCTACAATAGTATACATGATTTCGTGCAAAAAAGGAGTGTTTAAAAAAAACACTTTCTGTTCTGTATTTAGAATATTTTATGTTATTAACCTGTTACAAACTTATATGTATACGTTTTTTATGTAAAAATAAGTAAATCAATGTAAAATTGTCTATCAATGATCATATTCTAATCGGTTATTTTTAATGATATCTACAATAATGAGCAGCATTTTATGTAAAAAATAACTAAAAACACCATTTTTTACCAATAATTTCAGGTTATTGTTGGCTTGAATATATCGATTTGCATACATTTTGGTTATTTTTATGATTTTCTATATATTATATGATTTCTAAAATAATATATGTGGATTTGAATAATATATGTGGTTTTGTACAAAAGAGGAGTGCAGTCAAGGTCACACTCAATCGCATTTGAATTTATTTATTCTAGTAGAAAAATGATTTTTGGTAAAGTTATTGTCAACAATGGATTAATAAATATTTTTTTAATATATCACACAACAAATATTATGTCAGATTATGTTATAATCATTGATTTACATGTGTATTATTTATTTTTTTTTAACATTCATATATAGTTCAGATATTCTATGATATGCAGTATGATGATTATATTAGAAATAACAGTATTATTCATCCTCAAATGCAGTAATTCTTTAGTAATAATTATATTTCATATTTTATTACTAAAAAAAAATGTGGTATATATAATTCTTATATTAGATTACAAACATTTGAAATGAAAAACTGATTATAAAAGATTGTATTATACTTATAACATAATGGTTAAAAAACAAAAAAAAAAGATAAGGCTAGATATCTCTAAAGGCGGAAATACACATACCAGTAAAATACGTAAGTAACTTGCATGCTAAGAAATGGCATATGCCGGCGGATGGCACACTGCTGATACATTTGCAAGTAAAATGAAATGCCTCGTTAGTATATGGCTTATTGGCATGTCAGTAGGTAGCAAGTGGTAATGCACATGGCAGTTTTTCAGTGATCAGAGAGTTTTCAAGACGGAAAATAATAGGTACTTGCACCTCAACTGGTAGTTAAAAATGTTAAGCAACAGAGGATCAGAAGAAAGAAACAAGATATTTGGGTAAAAGACTGGATTAGCAGAAGGGAAGAATATGGAGCAAGCAGTTGTTTGCTTACAGAAATGCGGCTAGAAGATATAAATGGCTACAGAAATCATTTGAGAATGCTTCCTGAAAAAACTGTTATTGAAAATGAGAAACAAAATTCAGAAAAAGATACCCATACAGTCATCCAAAGTAGAAAACAAAATCGCTTATAGTGGTGATAGCTACTGGAGTGCCAGCAACTAGTAGACACGTTCCGACATGCCGCTTGAACTCCCCCGAAACCCCCCGCCACACATTGCATGCCAAAAAATCAAATGATGTGCAATTTACTTGCGCGCCTTTTACAGGCATACCTTTTAATAAATACACATACCAGGAGCTATCTCCTGCAAGCTACTTGCATGCTATTGTGCAAGCAACAGGCATGTGTATTTCCGCCNATGTCTGTATTTATTAAGCATAAATACCTAAATATTTCAGTTGCTAAAAATATTCTGTTGGCTACTCATGTATCTTGTTATTAACCATATATCAGCTCTACAAGAGTTCGCTTTACCTGCTCACCTCATACCACTGAAGGCGTCGCGGCGCTAGCATCCAAACCGCAACTAATACCTACTCACAATCATATAAATGGTAGAAACCATCATAATAAGGGTGTTTTAGAGTGGGTCTTTCGTAACATTATACCCCTAAAAGATTATATATGCCAGCTTTCCACAATAATATACATGACTTCGTGTAAAAAAGGAGTGATTAAAAAAAAACACTTTCTGTTCTGTATTTACAATATTTTATGTTATTAACGTGTTACAAACTTATATGTATACGTTTTTTATATTTTTCTATTAATTATTTTCATGTAATTTTTGGTAAATTCTACAATAACAGTCAATTTTTATGTAAAAATAAGTAAATCAATGTAAAATTGTCTATCAATGATCATATTCTAATCGGTTATTTTTAATGGTTATCTACAATAATGAGCAGAATTTTATGTAAAAATAAGTAAAAACACCATTTTTTACCAATAATTTCAGGTTATTGTTGGCTTGAATGTATAAAGTATCGATTTGCATACACTTTGGTTATTTTTATGATTTTCTATACAGGGTAGCCCATCGAAAACGTACCGCAAGGCATTACAGGGTAGTAATGAACTTTTCGGCAAAATCCAAAAACAGGTAAAGTTTGCTTCTGAGGGGGACAACTTTTGGCGCAAAAAGCATAGCAAAATCTTCAACCCCCTAAGTGGGGGTGCCATCCCCCAAATTTTTTTAAATGGGAATGGGG